AAACTACCTGCTTGACATCTCCTACATGGTAATTTGGGTAGAAATGTTATGCTCTGGATCAGCCATGTCTCTGGACCCACCTTCCATCACACAGCAAATGGGGCGGGGGGGGGGGGATTGTGGAGTGAATCCAGCAATGCCAGGACCACCAGCCCAGACCCTTTAGAAAGATGCTGGTGCGGGGTGGGAACAGGAGTGGAGGACTGGTTGTTTTAAAAGGCCAAAGAGACACAATAAACAAAGGCACCACACAAACCCGATTGCATCCATGCGAGGGATGGGAAATACTCATAGAAGGTATTATAGGGACAGCTGGTGAAATTAAATAGCAACTGCATATTGGCAGATGAGACGGAATGGCTGCTAATTTTCTTAGCTGTTGTGAAGGGTGCTACGATTACACAGGAGGGGTGAGCCATTGGGTTGTTTGCAATTTTATTTTTGGGTGGGTCTAAAAACTGTACACGTACCATACTGAAACACACACACAGGAAAACTGCACATGCACCATACCCAAACACACAAAGACAGCATGGAAGAAAACCCCAGTCTCCCTACCCCAACCGCATTGCTTCGTCCCTCCATATCTCCGAGCTTTTCAGAATTCAGCACCCCCAGACTTAAGACCTCGAAGCGCCTGGAGTCACCCCCTGTACTCAGCTCACAGCACACACAGCCCTGGTAACACACAAACAGAAGGTCCTCTCCTTGGGGCAGGCGACACAGCTCCTGAGCCGGCCGTGATGGCTCCCTTGGCCCTATCCCTACCTCTTCTCAGCAAAGGAATGTGAAGGACCAGGAGGGACACCCCAGCTGCAGTCTTCCATTCTGCTGTAGCAGTCAGACTGACGCCTATGGGATCTGGGGTGCCCCTAGAAAGGCAGTAGGACTCTCCCGCCACACCTGGGCAAAGACCAGTGTGGAGGGGGCCAGGCTGCATAGGACCCCCCTCCACACGGTTCCCAGGTGTCACCACAGAGCAAGAAGACGGGGTTGCTGACACCAGGGCTAAGGGGTTTCTGAAGGACCTTGCTCTGCTGTCTTGTTATTTTTGAGGTTTTGTGCTAAGTCCCAGCACAAGCCTGAAGGCCGGCTGGGAATCATCACAAACCAACTGGTACCAGAACTGCTGAAAGCTTGCTCAAGGGAAGTCCGAAATGGAGACCTTGTTCAAAGCCAAGTCCAGGGATCAAGGTCAGGGAGAGAGGGAGGAAGCAGCCCTACAGAAACTGCCCTCCCCAGCAAACTCAGGCTCCGGGAGATGCTGAAGCCACAAAAGACCCACGACCACCTGGTTAAACGACTACAGCCCCTGGAAGGAAGAGGAGGCTTCAGCACAGGGCTGCCAGGAGGTGAAGGTAGCGGGGGTCTCCTGCACGCCCGGCATCAGCCGCACACCTCGCTGCTGCCCAGGGACAAGGTGTTGCAGGCAGAGTCAACTCTGGCATTTCAAGGTGAGGTCTCGCCCATCGCTATGGCTTCCCCATCCAGTGGGGCTACTTCTATGGGATGACAGAGCAGGCCCAGGACAGAGCAGGGACGACTCGGCCACTGCACCTTGTTCCTGCCTTCACTCAAGACAGGCAGGCATCTGAGCTTCCTCAAAGGCACGGGCCTTGGCTCACCCTCGGGTCCCACCCACTGGTTGGCGGCCAGTGTGCTGGAAATCCTGGAGCCCAGCAAATGGCAGCAAATACACAAAGAACAGGCGGGGCTTAAATGCAACACGGGCCCACCTCAGAGCTGAAGTCTGAGACTCCGTCTTAGGAGTCAGGAAAGCTCAACAAGAGGAGGCATTTCCCTCCTGCTACTCTAAGCCTGGGGAAATGATGGGCGAGCTATAAAACACATCAAACCAAAACAAACCAAAAGCCACACAGGCCGCCCGCAGGCCCCTGTGGCTAGGAAAGTGGGAACAAACCCCCTTCAGGGTGCAGGTGACGTGGTGCAGTGGTCAAGCCGCCATTTGGCACCCCCTCATCACATATTGGAGAGCCTGGGTTCAAGTCCCAGCTATTCCATGTCAGATCCAGCTTCCTGCTCAGGTGTTCTGCAGAAGGCAGCTAACCATGGCTCAAATACTTGGCTCTATGCCAGCCACGTGGGAGACCCAGATGATACTCCAGGCTTCCCGCTTTGTCTAGCCCAGCCCTGGCTGCTGCAGACATTTGCGGAATGAACCAATGGATAGAAGATATCTCCTCCCACCAAATAAATAAATAATAAAAATAAAAAACGTCCCTCTGGCTCCTCTGCTTTTCCCTCCTGCAAGTTCCTACCCTTGCACCTGCTCGGCCCGCCTGCTCCACCCGTGCACTTGATTGGACTTTCAGGAGGAAGGACACAGCCCATCAAAGCAGTACTTCACAGTCCACACTGTGGTCCTATGTAATTAGCATCCAGCAGAACTAAAAAGATTTCCCTTTCATGCCATACAAAGCTCAACTATTTCAGGGAGCTTATAACAATCATCTATGAAAATGCAGCAGATCCATTAAAATGGCTGCTACCACCACGCACAAGAGGCAGCCTCCTTCTATTTCCCAAAAGGAAATAGACCAGGGAGGTCCCCCGCCCCAGTCACACTGCTAACTTCTCATCTGCTACATGCTCTAAGCTAATGCCTTCAAGGTACAGCCCCAGCAGGTAGAATCTCCGCAGAGGAGGCCTCACAGGTTCCCAGTGCACAGGGACTGGGACCTGAGCGCTGGGACTCGAGCCAGGAAGCAGGAGGCCAAGCCCTCAGGACTGCTCTCCATCACCACCTGCTCAGTGACTTCCCTTCAGGTCCCTGGCAGGACCTCACTGTCTCCCTGCGGGGCACCTCTGCACACTACAAGTCACCTTGCACCTTCTGCACAGATGAGTCACCAGCTATCTGTGGGACTCAGTCCATTCTCCCTCCTCATTTTCCTGGTCAACTTCTAACTCAAAAGCTCCAAAAATCCCAAGAGCAGCACCAGGCAGGCCCAAGCCCCCCCCCAGGGACGCACAGTGGCCTGATGAAGGCCCATGTGGAAGTAGGCGGGGCCTGCCACTGTTCCCACTACAGGGGAAGCAGCAAGCCGAGCCGTCAGAGCCAAGCCTCCTGGGTATGGTGCACGCAGACGCCCCCCCGCCCCCAGCATTAGCTGCAGCTCTGAGGCCTGGGTCCCTGAGCCCTTGGTCCTCCTCAGCACAGATTCCCTTTCCTGGAGTGGAAGGTGAACTTCACGGATCCAGGATGTGCTATTTGAGACTTGTGCCAACAATGGGCCACCTCCCCCTGTCCCCCGGCCCTTCCAGCTGTGCCCCCACAAGGTCACTCTGCCCACTGGCCTCGGCATGTGATGGGGCAGGGCAGCTCACGGGGCAGGCTGCACTGTGATGAAGCCACCTTCCAGCCCCTCTTCTGATAAACCGACCATTCTCAATTGCAGCCACTGCCCAAATTTACCAAAGACTGTGCCGACAAGTTCACGGGCAAGTCGGCTGTTCAGGGAGATAACGTTTTCCCTGTGTACATAGGAAGTCTCCTGGGTCAGCCGACAAAAGCCTCTCCATCCACTCTGGACTTAAAACACAGAACCTCAAACCCCAAATCAGAAGGATGAGAGATACTAGCTGCCAAGCTCAGCGGCCTGCTCAGCCCTGCTCAGACGGGCTGGACCACAACTCCTTTCCCCAGCAGGGCAGTGACACCCCTGTCCCCCGACTCAGGGTTCCCCAAGGAGACCCTCCCTGCTGCTTGGCTGTGGCTATGGGCAGTCCAGCAGGGGTTGGGGATTCAAAGACCCCTCCCCAAGAGCTCGCTAGCTCCTTGGCCTACAGGCCACAAGGCTTTCTCTCCACTCACAGACTTGCTGCCTACTCTCCCAGGGCATGGTATGCTTGCCAACCAGGATACCCCACCACTGCTCATAGCCACACATACCCCTACCCCAAGAAAGGGCAACTCTGTGAGATCCCTAAGGATTCTAACTCATGGGGACACAGCCCACGACTCCATGCGACCTTCTTCACTGGCCCCTCTGGTTCCCACCTCCCCCAGCAAGGAAGGTCAAGCCTTACTCAGACAGCCTCTGATGCGAGAAGAAGAGACAGAACTGGTGGCTCCCCTCCGAGTGGAGCCCTAGGGGGAGTAAGAGGCTGTGCTGTGGAAGGGGAGAAGACAGGCAGAGGAGAGGAGAAGGAAGCTCGCAGGCGGAGATAGGAAAGGATGGCTCTACCCCTTCCTGCGCCAGCGCCACACCCACTGAGGGCAGAGGTGACCAAGCCAAAGCCCTGGCACGAACCAGAGAGGAAGGACAAAAACGAGACGAGACACACGGGAGTAAGAGCCACGTGAGAAGAATGAACACAGTAGGCACGGACGGGAACTCAGAGGACAAGGCTTCCGGGAGTTGGGGATGAGTGACAGGAAGTGAGGACGAGCCACGACGGAGGACGAGCAGGTGTGCAGGGTGGGTGGGGAGCAAACGCACAGGAGGGCAACAGCAGGGCCTGCAAGGGGGGAGCTCACCCAGGAGTGAGTGCAGGGACGGCGGCAGGCAGGGCTCAGAGGCGTGGCTGGAGACGCAGGGGGAGCCAGCGAGCAGGGGACAAGCCTGGACACTGGGCACAGCCGGGCTTAAACAGGGAAAGGAGCTACAGTGTGGCCGGCCGGAGGAAGATGTGGATGTTGGAGACACAGCAGAGGTGAGGGTGCGTGGAGCGCGTGGAAGAGCGGAGCCCTGGAAGCAGGGTGTCCCGCTGGGAATGGAGGAATGGGGCCGGGGCCGGGAGGGAAGCTGGACAAAGAGCATGCTGTGCCAGTCGGGGACAGGCGGAGGGCGAGTGGTGCTGTGCACCGAAAAGAGGAAGCACACGGAGGGGGCTACTGCAGGGCTGCGGTGGGGACGAGGCCTCTAGGACACTCCCCCAGCTCCAGCTGGTCCTTCCCGGGAGCCCTGTGGGAACAGCAGGGCGCGCTATGGCCTGGGCAGGGGCTTCAGTGGCCCGCTTTAGTGCCCCACTCTCACCTGCATCCAAACGTCGTCTGCAGCAGAGTTGTGATTCCCACGCAGAAGAAAATGGTCCCGATGAGCTGGCTGGTGGCCCACTGGTCGTAGCCCACACACATGGCGTCGGCCAGCAGAAAGGGCACGGCGATCGTGCCGCTGAAGCATGTCAGGTAGTGCTGCAAGCCAGAGAGACAGCAGGCAGGACAGTCAGCCCCTTCTCCTTCTCCCTGATTCCCTCCCAACTGCGCACCCCTCCTAGCTTCGACAAAGAGCCCACAAGGGGCTGGCAGTGTGGTACAGTGAGCTAAGCTGCTGCCTGCAACACTGGCATCCCATATCAGAGTGCTGGTTCGAGTCCCGCTGCTCCACTTCTGATCCAGCTCCCTGCAATGCGCCAGGAAAAGCAGCAAATGGCCCAGGAGCTTGGGCCTCTGCCACCCACGTGGGAGACCTGGATTGAGCTCCAGGCTCCTGCTGGCTTCAGTCTGGCCCAGTCCTGGCTGTTGTGGCCACCACTTGGGGAGTGAATCACAGGATGGAAGATGCCTCTCTCAATCACACTGTCTTTCAAATACATAAGTGTTTCAATTAATCAACAAAAATAAAAAGAGCCACATGAGACAGACTCTGGTTTTTCAGATGCACATTTCTATCACTGGCCAAAGCCTAATTTTTTTTCTTTTTTAAGCATTTCTCCTTTGTATTTTCTTGTCCTGTTACTCACTTGTGTCAGAAATTTCCAAAAGTTTGTGGACAAAGGAATTAAAAAGTTTATTTTAATACAAAATTTTTGAAATGCACACATGGTCCCTCCTTCATATGCATTCACAAGCTTGCTAAGACCCCTCCCCTACTAGCACCAACTCTACCCATGAGTTCAGGCCAGCACATGGGGAGCACCAAGTGCAAGCTCTGTGTAAACTGTGTTAAGAATATTTGCTCCAGGAGCTGGCACTGTGGTGTAGTTGGTAATGCTACTGCCTGTAGCACCAGCATCCCACATTGCTGCTGGTTCGAGTCCCAGCTGCTCCACTTCCAATCCAGCTCTCTGCTGTGGCCTGGGAAAGCAGTAGAAGATGACCAAAGTCCTTGGGCCCCTGCACCAGCATGGAAGACCCAGAAAAAGCTCCTGGCTCCGGATCGGTGCAGCTCACGCTGTTGGGGCTGTCTGGGGAGTGAACCAGTGGATGGAAGACCTCTCTCTCTCCACCCCACCCCATCCCCAGGTGCTCTTCAGCATCAGCTGCTAAGACGAGAGGGCTTCTCTCCTACAACCTGTGGACCTGAACTCTGGTGCAGTCATGCTCGCATTCCTGAAACAACCCTGATCACTCACATTTTGTCCTTCTGGGATTTGCTTTGCTAATATCTTACGTAAAATTCTGTAGCTACATTCCAAAAATAATTAGTCTCCTTTTTTTTTTAATCCGCTCGGATTTGGGGATTAAAGTTACACAAGCTACAGGGCGTTTCTCTTCCTGTTCTGTGGGCTGACTCTGTTCAAGCCAGGGCAAGGTGCAGGGTACGCGGGAGGCTGTGGGAACCCTGCAGGAAGAGCCCCTTCCCACTCCTCTGTGAGACACCTCGGGCATGGCTCATTGCCTTGGGAGCCTGGCTCTCATTTCTGTCCAGCAAAAGTGCCACTGTTCCTCCCCAGAGCGTCCTGCATTTGGCTAGGTCTGCCAAGCATGCTGCTTGCTGCCTGGGAACCCCGACCCTATGGGTGTTTCCATGGGGACAGATCCCTCCTTTAGGAGCTTCTCAGAGGCACGACACAGGCCAGGTCCCCCACTCCGAACTGACGAGGGGAGACTTTGTTCTAGAAACACCTAGAATGGAAACATGCCATACAGCATGATTCCTGGACCTGGCTCAGTGTTCTCTGCCCCACGTAAACAATGCTCCCAGACCATCCAGCTGCTCTGGATCCCGATCTCCCTTTCCTGGACACCCTCTGGGCCAGGCTACCATGTGCTCTCATGCCGGAAACTGGACCCATGCACTGGCTGTCAGCAGGTGAAGTCCCACCTGCGAGTGGACACCCCTGCCTGTGCCCTGAGGCTCCCGAGGGTGAACAGAACACGCCCAACCTGACATAGGGAGAGAGGGCACGAAGACCCCAGAGCGGGGCCCAGCCAGGCGAGGAGGAGCGTCTGAGTAAATCCAGCTCATCCACCTTTCTCCAAAATACCCTCCCAGAATCCTTCAGGCAGAAAAACACTGAAGACTCAGAAGGGCGGGGAGCCTGGCTCAGTGTGTGGCACCCAATCTTGTCCTCCCTCCCTCCCCCAGCCTCCAGTTGCCGCATGAGCGCCCTTAGCATTGTGAAGCTTCATTTTCCTTGGGAGGTGGGAAAGAAAGCCTGACACTCCCCATGTACGTCCTGGCCACCAAGGCACTTCCCAGGGCCGCCCAAGCGTCCAGGCAGAGCTGGCCTCATCTGCAGTCCGGCAGATGAGGTCATGGTTCGGAGACAAAATGTAACTTCTCCTGATTCTGCGTCCCCAGTCGCTCTTGTTTCCTACCTCCACCCTTCTCCATCCTGCCCTGTCACTTCTCCTGCCGGCTCCCTGAACATCTTCCTTCTTCTTTGCCCCAGGGAAGCTACTCCTCCTGCTCTGTTCTGCCTCCCACTGCTACAAAGATGCATATCAACAACTTCCATTCATCATTCTGCATGCATCAGAGAGCATCGTATAATCAAATCGGCGATCAATGAAAAACCCCAGTTGAAATGTTTGAAACATCAGATGGCAGACAATTTAAGCGTGTGCTGGTGGTGGTGCCACATCCTAAAGGAACCAACTTACCTGCAGACCCAGAAATATACACAGGTACCAAGGAGGAACATCTTCGATGGTGTAGATCATGTCAGACCTCTGGGGGTCCAGGCTGCCCGTGCTGTCCAGGGTCTCGGCGAGAGAGCTCTGTAAGTTAGAGGGAAGAAGGAGGCACTTGTAAAGGAAGGGGCGGACATGACTCTCTCGGCACAGGCCACGTGGCTGTAGAACACCTTCACCGCCTGGCGGCCACTTCCTGCAATGCTGAACCTAGGTTGGCTGTGTCTGCTGGAAGCTGCAAGCACACTCTTCAGTCTTGCAGAATTTGGGGGGCCAGGATCCCTTGACATCAACTCATCCCCGAGCACCCTTGTCCCCAAGCCCGTGCTCCTCCTGCGTGGCCAGAGAGGGTCCCGGGTGGAGACCACAGAGCCCCATCCCTGCATGAGCAGTCCTTGAGTGAGACCCCACCAAGGAAAAAACATCGCAAAAGGTGAATAACTTCCAGGGCTGCTAATCGAGCTCCCGCTCCATTCCACCCTGGCAACGAGAAAGGGGTTTGACCCAAAACAAAAGCCCTGTGCCCTCCTGTCAAAAGGCCACTGCTCAGACAGCAACGCTGGGAGACAAGGGCCAAATTCAACAGTAGACAAACAAGACTCGAATTTTGTTTAAAAAAACAAGAGACTGGACCTGTATTTATACCTTAGATGACAAACCCTCCCTTCCCCGACTGGTACTAAAGATTTCATTAAATGTTAAGCATCACATTCTTTTTAAGCCCCAAATCACAAAGACCAACACTTTGGGTTACAGTCCAGACACGCCTAGTCAGCTACAACATCACTTCTGCGCTTGTTCAGTGTCTGAGCCCAGGAGAAAATGCAGAGTAACCCCGAGTTTCCCTGTGTAGTCCCAAAACATCTCTCACTTCTAAAATGCTATTAATTAATTCATCCGTTTCTTAGAAACGAAGATGCCTATCACTATACATTTTTAATATTTTGTAACCTAGCAGTGTCTAACAGAAGATGAAAATCAAAAGATGTCTCTCTCTCTCTCTCTCTCTCACACACACACACACACACACACCCGACTCTTGACTGTATCCAGCCCAGTAAGCAGCCTCTGGTCTGGTGAATTTGGTCCACGGAAGAATGCTGCCTCTGTACGTTTGCCACTGTCTTCCAGCCGGAGACAGGGCTACATACCCTTTAACAAAAGAAGGAGCACACTCCAGCCTGGCTGTCCACGGCCTGAAGGTGAACTCGCCTGATGCAAACTGACATTTGATCTAATCCAAATGTAGCTGGACATGACCTTTTGGACGGATACTGGCAGATTTGCATGAAAGGATGGGTTAAAGTAGATTATAAATGTCTTGTGAAAAATCACTGATAGGTGCCAGTGCTGTAGCATAGCAGGTGAGGCCGCTGCCTGCAATGCCAGCATCCCATGTGACACCAGTTCGAGGCCCGGCTGCTCCATTTCCAATTCAGCTCTATGCTACGGCCTGGGAAAGCAGTGGAAGACGGCCCAAGTCCTTAGGCTCCTGCACCATGTGGAAGACCCAGAAGAAGCTCCTGTGTGCTGGCTTCGGATTAGCATAGCTCCAGCCATTGCAGCCATCTGAGGAGTACACCAGTGGATGGAAGCCCTCGCTCTCTCTCTCTCTCTCTCTCTCTGCCTCTATCTCTCTGTAACTCTTGTCTTTCAAATCAATACATAATTTTTCTTAAATGCCCTGGAAAAAATAAATCACTGGTAGAGGGGCCAGTGCTGTGGCATAGTAGGCTAAGCTTCCAATCATATGGGCACTGGTTCAAGTCCTGGCTGCTTCTCTTCCGATCCAGCTCTCTGCTAATGGCCTGGGAAGGCAGTGGAAGTGGCCCAAGTGCTTGGGCCCCTGCACCGACGTGGGGGACCCAGAAGAAGCTCCTGGCTCCTGGCTTCAGATTGGCTCAGCTCTGGCTGTTGCAGCCATCTAGGGAGTGAACCAGCAGATGGAAGACTTTCTCTCTGTCTCTCCCTCTCTAACTTTATCTCTCAAGTAAACAAAATCTTAAAAAAAAAAAAAAATTTACTGCTCAAGCTCTCGACACACCAGCCAGGGCAGATGACTCGGTCTAGCTCACTAGGGCCCTGTCTGGTTCCTCCAGCATGGCCACTGTGAAGAACTTGGCTCCAAAGCGTGAATGCTAAATTTAGCAAGACCCCCGCTGACTGGAGCATCTTCAAGTACCAGCCCCTCAGACCCCAGAAAATCTGCTGTCTTCTGTAGTCAAAAGAATCTCTCGAGTTCTCAAACCACTTCTCATTCGAGAGAGTTTTCTGAAGTCTGCGCCAATGCTTCCCTTAATCCATAAGCCACAAACAGACTTCTACGCTGCTCAGCCCCTGGCTTGCAGTTCTCGGAACTCTCATGCATTTCTGTTTCACAAGGGAAATTATTTTATATGCACAGGCAGCAGCAGACAAGAAAATAAGATTTAAAATCACTGGTGGACAAGGTAAGTGAGCACGTGTGAGTCGTCTGGCAGTACAGGAAGGGCCAGCCCGTGCCTGGTGCCTGGGTTTCGGGGCTCTAGGAACATTCGGACCATTCAGAGTGCCTGTGTTTCCCCTGAGGACTTGGGCAGGGCCTCGGGCCACCAGCGTTAGCTGTCTGTCTGACCGGGGCTTGGGCGAGCACCCATCAGGTGTCATTGCTGGGGAAGCAAAACGTTGCGTGCACAGCCCCACGGGGGAGCACGTCTGGAAGCTTCTGCCTGGTGCCTCTGGACACGGGGAAGGGTAGTGTCCATCTGTGTCCTTTCTCTGAAATAAACTGTGAGCGAGACAGCACTGCTGAATGCTGCTTCTTTCTAGCACATCACTGAAGCTTACTTGGGAACCCCCAACCTGAGGTGACCATGAACGGTGGGCTCAGTGACTAAGGTCACCTCACCATCCTCCCCATGGACAGTCTCCCAGGAGGACAGTCCTCCTGCTCACAAAGTAACAAAGAGAAACAACTGAAAACCACCAGCACACAAGCACAACAGATTAGCACAACCTGTTACAGAAACAGTGTAGGGGCCTGTGCTGTGGTGTAGCAGGTAAAGCTGCTGCCTGCACTGCCAGCATCCCGTATGGGTTTAAGTCCTGGCTGGTCCACTTCCGATCCAGCTTCCCGCTAATATGCCTGCAAAAAGAGCAGAGGATTGCTCAAGTGCTTAGAAAGATGGAAGATCTCTCTTGCTCGCTCACTTTGCCTCTCTCTGTGCCTTTCAAATAAATAAATAAATCCTTTTTTAAAAAAGTATAAGCCACATTTTTTAGAAATTCCAAAACAGCCAGTTTTAACTATAAAACCAATTAAGAGTTTGAGTATGCCCTCTTCCACGTGTGAACAGGCTAAGATCAAGATGCTCACAAACACATGTATGTATATATACAGACATAAGCATGTATACAGACACACACGTACACACACATGCATATGCAGTGCATGTATACACACACGTGTACAAAGACGTGTATATAGACACACGTATGCATGCATACATTTATACAGAGGCACACATGTATACGCAAAGGCACATGCATGTATACAGACAGGTGCATGCATGCATACATTTACAGACACATCCATGTGTGTACGCAGACACGTGTGTATAGAGACGTATGTATGCATGCACATAAACATGCATGTATACAGACACACGTGTATACGTGCACATGCACAATTTTTTTAGTGAAGAGCGTGATTCCATAGTTCAGAAATGCAGCTAATGTAAATGGCCACAACCAACACGAAAATGACAGAGTCAGGACCACAGGTGTGAGAGGGACCAGACGTTGCTGTCAGGCCAATGCTCAGGAAATCATGGTGTGGAGTCGGGTTGCAAACTGGCTCTGTGAGGGACCATGTGGTGAATACCCTGGCTCCAGCGGCTTCTGTCACCACAGAGCGGAAGCAGCCTTAGACGTCCCACACCCAGACAAGCACAGCTATGCCCCCTCGCACCGCCCTGCCGAGCACAGACACCCGGCTGCAGAGTCTCAAACTGATTATCATGAGGTTGCACAGCCACTGCTTCTGCACTTCGTCTCCTTCTATTCTGTGCCCTCTCCTTTCCCCCTCAGTCAGATCCACCGAGATCCATCCCATCAGTCTTCAAGAAGCCAGCTTGTGAGTTCCACATGGTTCATTTCCTCAACTTCCTAACAACAAACACGATGTTAAACTACAGTAAGGCCAGGAGTGGGGCATTTAACTCAGTTTGAAGATGGCCACACCCCACTTCAGACCAGCGCAGACCCTGGGAGGCAGCAATGATGACTCACGTACTGGTCCCAGCCAGCCACATGGGAGACCGGGACAAGTTCCTGCCTCCCAGCTTCACCCAACTCAGTCCAGGCCGTTGCAGACATTTGGAGAGTGAACCCGGGAATGGGGAGTGCACTCTCTTGTATGTTCTCCGCCCCGTCCCCGTATCCCAAATTAAAAATAATAATAATAAAACTTATGAGAACAAGGGGAAGAGGTCAAAGAAAAATGAGATTAATACACTTTAGAATGTGGACAAGCTGGGGGGCTGGCACTATGGCATGATGAGTGAGGCTGCCGCCTGCAGTGCCGCATCCCATGTGCTTGCCAGTTTGAGTCCCGGCTGCTCCACTTCCCATCCAGCTCTCTGCTTTGGCCTGGGAAGGCAGCGGAAGATGGCTCAATTCCTTGGGTCCCTACACCCACGTGGGAGACACAGAGGAAGCTCCTGGCTCCTGCCTTCAGACTGGCCCAGCTCCAGCCATTGCAGCCATTTGGGGAGTGAACCAGTGGATGGAAGACCTCTCTCTCTCTTCTTCTGCCTCTCTGTGGCTCTGCCTTTCAAATAAATAAATAAATAAGTGTGGACAAACTGCAACCAATCTGGGTGCCGGCAGAAGGAGCCAGCAGACCAACAGGACCCCACAGACTATGCCCAGATGAATTTAACTCCACAAACTGACTGGGCATCCTGTTGCCTACTCCTTAGGGCAAGAAACGGCATTGTTGGAAAAACAGAAACTGGAAAGACTTCAGTCTGAGAACACTGCACAGAAAACTGCAATGAATCTGTGCAAAGGGAGATCCTCCTCTGCTTCCCAAATGCCAGGCCCAGCTCAGAGATGCTGTGGCCCAGTGAGCTAAGGCACAGCTTGTGATGCTGGCATCCCATAAGGGAGCAGCAGTTCAAGTCTGGGATTTCCTGTTTTCCAATCCAGCTCCCTGCTGATGTACCTGGGAAAGCAGTGGAAAAAGGTCCAAGTGCGTGGGCCACCGCCATCCAGGTGGGAGACCCGGGACAAAGCTCCTGGCTCCCTGTTTCTGCGGACAGCTGCTATTTCCATCTAACGAGAGCGCACAGAGGTAGGCCCTGTCCCTGCACAGGCGCGAGGCGCAGGTACCTTCTCGGCGATGCCGTTTTCCGTGGTGTAGATGGCCATGAGCTCGGTGTCCTCGGTGTCCTGCTCGCCGCTGGACGTGGCGCCTCCATTTATCACCACCTGGAGACAAACACTGCATTTACAGGCAGCTCCAGCGGACGCCACTGCATATAAACATTTCTGTAACTCCACACACAGCACAGCAGCAAAGTCTGGGGCCCTGGTAAACGAAACACCTGACCCGTATATGGGCACCATGGCCAGGCGCACGTTTCTGATGGAGGAGAAGCCTGCCTGGTGTCTCCTACAGGGGAGCTGCAGGAGGAGGCCTGGGTGCGGGAGACCAGGAATGGAACATTCCAGAGAAAGCTGCAGTGGGGGAACCCCACAGCCACCAAGCGCAGGCCCACGTGTCTGTGTGGGACCAGCTCAGAGCCCTCCCCTGCCGGGGCTGAGTCCTCTCCCAGCAAGCATCCCAGCACCAGTGGCCGTGCGCCTCTCGAAGCAGGAGCTGTCCCAGCCGCACAAACGCAAGCACTGTCGTCTGCCGCCTCACTAACTTTGCAGGGCTACTGTTTCTCGCGCAGTTAAGGAGACTAGCTCTCATCGGTGTGCACTGCTGGCGACTGGGGACAGCACAACGCCTGTGCCCACAGACTCCACTGCCTGGGCCCTCGAGGTGAGGTCTGGGCATGGCTTGGGGATCCACCCGCCTATAAGCAAGAGCCTCAAGCTATTTTCTACTCTTAGCCAAATGGTTCCATTTCTCAGGATCTATCCCAAAGAAACAATACTTAAAGTAAATTTAAAAGAGCTTTAACCCGGCCGGCGCCGCGGCTCACTAGGCTAATCCTCCGCCTTGCGGCGCCGGCACACCAGGTTCTAGTCCTGGTTGGGGCGCCGGATTCTGTCCCGGTTGCCCCTCTTCCAGGCCAGCTCTCTGCTGTGGCCAGGGAGTGCAGTGGAGGATGGCCCGAGTACTTGGGCCCTGCACCCCATAGGAGACCAGGAGAAGCACCTGGCTCCTGCCATCGGATCAGCGCGGTGCGCCGGCTGCAGCGCACCGGCCACGGCAGCCATTGGAGGGTGAACCAACAGCAAAGGAAGACCTTTCTCTCTGTCTCTCTCTCTCACTATCCACTCTGCCTGTCAAAAAAAGAGCTTTAACCCAAAAACAGTAATTTCACCACTTACGTGTAAAAACAAATCACTGTCCTTTTATACCCAGAACACTACAAGGAAAATGCTTTTGCATGGTGCTTATTATATCAAGGGGAAAAAGTATGTGTAGTAGTGTTGTTAATTATATAAACGGGAAACAGTACAATCACATTTTTAAAATACTGATGGGAGAAAGTATGTAAGATGTTTAAATTCTGGAGTTGTGAAATACATTAAGAAGTAAAAAAGAAGTGGTGATCTAAGAAGAAACACAGTGCAACAGACAGCAAAAGGCATCAATAGTTCATCAGAAACAAGATTTAAATAATCGTAAAGAACACCTCAATCAATAACCATCCAAAGGAAACGGGCAGAGGCTAGGAAGAGACATCCACAGAGGGAACATCCACACAGAGTACAACACATGAAAAGCTGCTCCACCTTATTTAAAATCATGGAAATGATTAAAATAAATTTTCATGTTTTAACATAAAGTTACAAGATGAGCCTGGCATTGGCCAGGGTACAGGGAAGACGTGCTCGCTCATGACACTGACCCGTTCTTGGATCCAGGGATTACATGCAGAGAACCAGTCCTAGAGAAACATGCAACTGAGCTGTGTGCACATCTGACCGTGACCCCCGCAGCACCGTGTGAGATGCAGAATACTTGGGGATAACCTAGCTATCCGCCAAGGAGACGGACACCATTAAATGACAGCACATCCATTTAGAGAATAATATTCAACTATTAAAAAATAAATCGGGCCGGCGCCATGGCTCACTTGGCTAATCCTCCACCTGTGGTGCTGGCACCCTGGGTTCCAGTCCCGGTTGGGGCGCTGGATTCTGTCCCGGTTGCTCCTCTTCCAGTCCAACTCTCTGCTGTGGCCCGAGAAGGCAGTGGAGGATGGCCCAAGTTCTTGGGCCCTGCACCTGCATGGGAGACCAGGAGGAAGCACCTGGCTCCTGGCTTCGGATCAGCGCAGTGCGCTGGCTACAGCACACCAGCCATAGTGGCCATTTGGGGGGTGAACCAACGGAAAGGAAGACCTATCTCTCTCTCTCTCTCTCTCTCACTGTCTAACTCTGCCTGTCAAAATAAATAAATAAATAAATAAATAAATAAATAAAAATAAAGCTAGTGTACCGAGAAACAAAGATCTAAAAGACAGACTGTAAAGCAGTAAGTCACAAACCTATATAAGGCTAAAATTATCATAAATGTTAAAAACCACTTTAATAACTTGCCTACCTGGCTTAACGCCTAGCAGAGCACGCGGGAAGATCACGAAGCAGCAGGAAGCATGAGGCCCCCGGGACAAGGGCGGCACCTGCAGACCCCCTTCCTCTGACTCCCGGCCCTTCCTTGGCGTTGGTGTCTTTCATCATCAGTATGCACGCGAGTGTTATTTGTGTCTTGTCTTTTTTAAATGGAGAATAAAAAAGACATCCTCCCAAATATGAACATTGGTTGGTCTAAGCAGTAGGGCCATTTCTGCCTTATTTTCCCCCGTAAGTATTCTGGGGATATTCTATATATAACGTGTGCAGAAAGATCTGAGCAGTACCGCTGGGTTTGAGGAGGTCCACAGAGATTCCCAGGCAACTCATTCTTGCCGTCGAGGAAGTCAGGCCAATGAAAAATTAAAATCCTCATTCAAATACACACGAATTATAATCCAGCTGTGCCGCTGGTTTTAAAGTAGCCTAGGGAATCTCAATTCACAGCACATTTTTTTACAGGACAGAATCTGTTTATACTGCAAATAAAGATTTGCTTTTATAACTTTCTGAATCATGCGATAGCTTTTTACACCAGCCAGCTGTAGCTGTGGCACTGGTTTGCCTATAAAACCAGTAGCTGGCAGAACACACGCTCCCAGGTCCACAAGCACAGAGAACCCAGCTCCAGGCCACATCATCACAGTACTCCACCCACTGTGAAGCCGGGAGGCCCACCCATCAGGACCAACTCTTGAAACAACAACGTCTGGTGTCTAAACCATAGAGAAACCCCACCTGATTTAAAGACCTACACTGGCTTTGCCAGCCGTTCTTCACAGCACAGCACCTGTTCTCATTTTGGATTGCTACAGGGAACAGAATCTCCTCTGGGGTGAAGAACAAATCTGCACTGGTCAAGTAGTCCCTGGGGGACTCAGAGCCCACCTTCCACCCTGCAGAGCTGAGCACAGCCAACCCACCTCGGCCCTCCTACCCTCCACCTCCACTGCACTTCACCAGGGCTGAAGGCGGGAATGGGAACAGAACTAGAAAATGGGAGGTTCGGGTGAACGGGAAATGAATCCGGGCCCTAAGCTGCAGGGATTTGACAGCAAGGAGGAGCCAAGGCCGTAAGGGGCGGGGTGCCCGCGGCAGGTGCCTCTGTAGTGTTTCTCAATTACAGGGGCTGCCTCAGGAGTGCTCAGACACAGGGCTCTATGCAAAGTACTATTTTACTAATAGCTGTCCTTCAGTTTATTAAGTTTACTATCCTAATGCTACTATTCAAAGACACAAAATTTAATTTTAAAAATCAAATGTTAGGGGCCAGTGTCATGGCACAGCAGGATAAGACACCACCAGAGACACTGGCATCCCATATGTGCACTGGTTCAACACCCTCCACCACTCCACTTCCAATCCAGCCACCTGCTAATGCTCCTGGGAGAGTAGTGGAAGTGCCTGGGCCCCTGCACCTATGCAGAGACCCAGAACAGGCTCCTGGCTCCTGACTTCAGCTTGGTACAGCCCTGGCCATTGTGGCCACCTGGGGAGTGAACCAACCAATGGAAGATCTTTCTCTCTTTCGCTGTCTCTCCCTAACTCTGCCTTGCAAGTAAATTAAAAAACAAAAACAAAACAAAACAAAAAAACATTACAACCAGTTCTTTAGGCACTGAGGTTTTTTCTTTTTTAAAGGGGAAAGATAAAAATGTGTTGCTTACTGTATCAAAGCATTACATTTCAGAACCCCTAAGTATTATTGTCACTGGAAAATGAAGCCTGTCTCAGACATTTTCTCAACTGAAGAAGGCCTGACTTTTGTCGGTGCTGTGTTTAGCAGCACTGAGGCCAGGGCAGGGAGCACCCGGATATCTTCCACCTCAGGAGATTAAGCTTTAAGGAACATGTTGGCAGATTATTTACGGCCCTTTGGGGATGTCCTGCCTCCCTTTAAAATTATTTGAATTCAAACTTGTGGCTTTAAATGTCGTCTCCTGAACTCATGCTGTATGGTCACTTGATGGGCAATGACATCATCTCCGACAAGCGAGGCTAGGCTGACCTGGTCACGCCAGGCACGGGACACTCCACACAGCCACCTTCCTGGAGATGTCCCCCACCCCGGAACCGGATCCCCACTGTGAGAACGTATGACGCGGGACCTTGAAGGGGTGAGGCAGGCTCTGCCCCGTAAATGGATCCTGGGTTATCTCAGAGTCGGTCGGCCATCAAGTTTGCTTTGGCCTTGTCTTGAAGTCTCTCGCTGTGGGACGTTCTGTGCTGCCTGGGGACTCCGCCAGCAAGTAGCCTATCACGAGAGGTGGCCCCTCGACCTCAGACCAGAACCATGAGCCAAGGTAAACCTCTTTTCTTTATGACTTCCCCAGTCTGTGGCGCTATTAACAACAGAAAATGGATGGAGGCCCCATGCCTTTGGAAAGAACAGACCCTGAGGACTCCGGCTGGTGACAGTACCCTACCCTAAAGGAGCTGATAATACAGGCCACAAAACAACCAGCAAAAGGTCAGCATCTCAACAGGAAAACAACCAGAACTGTAGATGGCTCCTGAACACCTGCCAAGACGCCGGACTCTCTCCTAAGAACTCTCACCCAGTGAAGGCATAATCAGAAACCAAGGGCCCCACCTGACCGCACAGTGCGGCAAGCATGCGGGAACACAGGTGATCCCCTGTTGCTGGTGAGATCACATCAACAGAGGGCAACCTGGTGGAGCCCCTCACTTGCCCGGGGCACTTCCCTTCTGACGCGATAATCCCACTCTTGGAAATGCACCCTTCAATTATACCCGAGTGAAAGGACATATGTGTAGCAAGGTCATTCACTGTGGCTCCATGCGTGACAGCAAACAACTGGAAACGATCTAGACATCAACAGGAATTAAATAAAGTATGCTGTACCCGTACCACGGACAGCAGTGCGGTTATAAGAAAGAGAGAGGCCACTCTATACAGACACAGGTGCACGGAGCATCTCATCCACGATGAGCTTGTAAGCGCAAAGAGCAGAAGCAGAGCTACGGGAGATACTCACGTCCTTCTCCAACCTGAAGCTGCTCTGTCAGCGGGACCACAGGCACCAGCACCCCCTAACCTCTCCCACTGCCCTGTGATCTGGATGTTTGCTCAGAACTCCTGACACTCCCCCGTGCAGCTCTGTGACAGCTGACGTGGTGACATCAGGGGCAGCGGGTGGAGGGTGGAGAAGACACCCTTAGCAAGGAATGAATAGAAACGGTGAAGGAGCCTGTGACTGCTCACAATTCACACACAGCAGTCAGAGGTGTGAAGGCTGGCACACACCAGCAAAGGGTCAGAAACAAGCCCGGTCCTAATGAAAGCAGAGAAGTGAGATCTTTGATTCACAACTGCATCACGATCACAAGTTACCTTTTCAACAATACTGGCATGCCAGGATCCGACAGGAGGGTACAGGTTTTATAAAGCAGACTGTATGTGTGTGTGTGTGTATGTATGTTGATCACAGCTGTACATATAACACTCAAAGATATGCTCCAAATCTCTGGAGAGAAATATCAAAATATGAGCATGTCATTTTTCTGGCTCACAAGATTTTACATGATTTGTGTTTCCTTCATTATACTGTTCTGTATTTTCTAAATGTTCTGGAATGAATGCATTTCTCCAGTAAATGAAGAAAGCTACACAAACAATGAAGAAAGGAAAGAACAATGTGTAAATGTTAAGAAAAGCTGGTAATGGAACACGTTAGTTTTCTGTTTCTTCCAACTTACCCCAACAGCACACTAAGTCTAGGGAGAAATGAGTGCTTCAAGCATGTACAATTTAAAAGACAGGAACAACCAGCTACTTACTGTCAGGCAACCTCAATATCAGACCCTCCTCCTCGAGCCCCTGATCAAATCCTAACAGGAAACGAACTTTCTCTCCAATAGAATTGTGGAGAAAATACCTTACCTCCACCCACTGGGGAAATTCTGCCTCGCTAGCTCGACTGAGTACAGGGGAGACGGGAATGAAAAATCCAGAGGCGGGCAGTCACCGAGGACAGAAAGACACCTGAAGCAGTCGGGGAACTGCAAAAGGCAGGACCGCAGCCCGGGGTTGCAAAGGAGCACAGCTGTGAGGCAGGGAAATCAGATGGGCAACAACAACGATGCGGCCGCAAGGAAGAGGGCAGCGGGGTCTCCTGGGGAGGGGAGGGCAGGGAGCTTTGCCAGCCACTTCTGTGGCTTCCTTGTTCCACTGGTGTAATCTGGAGCACAGAGCAAGCACTCAGTAGAGACAGAATGGACCGAGAAAGAAGTCCCTTGAGGCTCTTGCTAGCCCCAAGATCCTGTAAACCTGGCCTTGCACAGAAGTCAGAGAGAAGGGGCGGTGTGGGGGTGCAGTGGGTCAAGATGCTGCGGGAGACGCGGGCATCCCCATCAGAGCGCTGGCTGCAGCCCCGACTGTGCCACCTCCAGTCTAGCTCCCTGCCAGGGCTCCTGAGACGGCAGCAGGTTAGGGTTCCCAATGATTTACGTGAAGGAACATTTGAAAACACATAGATACAGGAAATTAAGAACCAAAAATAGGCAGAAATGAAGCACATAGAAATTTCAGAATTAAGAAGTATAACCACTGCAATAAAAATTCCACAAGAAAACATGACTGTACATGAAGAATTAACAGCAGGGCCGGCGCTGCGGCACAGCGGGTGAAGCGGACGCCTGCAGTGCTGGCATCCCATGTGGGCACCAGTTCGAGACCTGGCTGCTCCACTTCTGATCCAGCTCTCTGCTGTGGGCTGGGAAAGCAGAGGAGGATGGCCCTGGTCTTTGGGCCCCTGTACCCATGTGGGAGACCTGGAGGAAGCTCCTGGCTCTTGGCTTCGGATGGGTGCAGCACCAGCTGTTGTGACCATTTGGAGAGTGGACCAGTGGATGCAAGATCTCTTTCTCTCTCTGCCTTTACCTTTCAGATAAATAAATAAATCTTAATAAAAAATGCAAAAATATATAGCTTAAAAAAATGTATTACTGCGGAGCTAGCACTGTGGCACAGCAGGTGAAGCCGCAACCTGCAGTGCCAGCATCCCACATGGGCGTCAGTTCGAGACCCAGCTGCTCCACTTCTGATCCAGCTCTCGGCTATGGCCTGAAAAGGCAGTGGAGGATGGCCCAGATCCTTGGGACCCCGTGTGAGAGGCCCAGTGGAGGCTCCTGGCTCCTGGCTTCAGATCAGCACAGGTCCGGCTCTTGCAGCCAGTTGGAGAGTGAACCAGAAGATGGAAGACACCTCTCTCTCTCTCTCTCTCTCTCTCTCTCTCTGCCTTTCCTTCTCTGTGTAACTCTGACTTTCAAATAAATAAATAAATCTTTAAAAAAATGTATTACTGCATGAACATGAAAATGCAAGGCCGGCGCTGCGGCTCAATAGGCTAATCCTCCACCTAGCAGCGCCGCACACTGGGTTCTAGTCCCAGTCGGGACGCTAGATTCTTTCCCGGTTGCCCCTCTTCCAGGCCAGCTCTCTGCTGTGGCCCGGGAGTGCAGTGGAGGATGGCCCAAGTGCTTGGGCCCTGCACCCCATGGGAGACCAGGAGAAGCACCTGGCTCCTGCCATCGGATCAGCGCAGTGCGCCGGCCGTGGCGGCCATTGGAGGGTGAACCAACGGCAAAAGGAAGACCTTTCTCTCTGTCTCTATCTCTCACTGTCCACTCTGCCTGTCAAAAAAAAAAAAAAAAAAAATCAAAATAAAACCCTTTAAAAAAATAAGAATAGCACTGGAAAAAAGATACCAAAATTGGCCGGCGCCGTAGCTCAATAGGCTAATCCTCCGCCTGCAGCGCCGGCACCAGGGGTTCTAGTCCCAGTTGGGGTGCCAGATTCTGTCCCGGTTGCTCCTCTTCCAGTCCAGCTCTCTGCTGTGGCCCGGGAAGGCAGTGGAGGATGGCCCAAGTGCTTGGGCCCTGCACCCACATGGGAGACCAGGAGAAGCACCTGGCTCCTGGCTTCGGATCAGTGTGGTGCGCCAGCCACAGCGGCCATTGAAGTGTGAACCAACAGAAAAAAAGGAAGACCTTTCTCTCTGTCTCTCTCTCTCTCACTGTCCACTCTGCCTGTGGGAGAAAAAAAAAAAAAAATTTTACCCAAAATCCCCCAGAAAGCAGTTAAAGGAGATGTGGAGGCAGCTGGGAGGCTCAGATGTGTAATTCAAGAGAAAGCCCATTTAAGAGTCGTACAAGGACCATGGCAGTAACCACAGACCCTCAGTGCATTTTAAAACTGAATTAAGGGAAAGGAGACAGGATACAAGAAACACCTGGGACCCCGACATCTGAAAATACACTGGTGACCTTGGGGCTTACCAATGTTCATGCTGAAATAAGTGAATCTAAAGCTCTGGATCTTAAGAGCAAGGCAAGGGGGTGTGAGTGAGAAACCTACTGGACTTCAGGCAGGGGAAGCACAGTGGGGACAAGTCAACAGCCCTGCTGGAAACCTGCAGAGCCGATCTAACTTAAACAGCAGCACGCTGACAAATGTAGAACGTTTCTTCCCCTAGAAAACTGGTGGCAACCATAAGCATTCAACATTACAGAAACCCTGTTTACAAATTTCACCTTACAGGGGAAAAAAAAAAAAAAAAAACAAGATTAATGGTATAAACCAGCTGTGTGCTTCTCTGTGACTTAACACAAATGCAGGTCATCAACCACCTCTCTCAAAGACGCCAACGCCACATCTGACGCCACATTCATGTCTTTCTTACTGTGAAACACATTCCAGAACCACGTGCTACAGACTCCTAGAATGGTATTCTTGCCATTAACCACATTTCTAGTATTGCAAGAAAAACACATGCAGGCAAGTTCTCTCCAAAGGAGTTTTTTTTTCTGCCTCTTTGAAATCAAAGAGGTAGGTAGGTAACTCGGTGCACATCAAGTCATAGTCCTGCATCTGGGGAAAACATCACCATTGAATATAACCAACATGTGCTACCAGGCTCTCCTGACTAGCGTCACTTACTCAGATAAAACTACCTCTGTCTTGGAAGCTGTCATTCTCGCACCAAGCAAGGACACTTGGCATCCAAAGGGCGGGCCCCTCCCACCTTGCAAAACAAGTCTGAAGCTGGGTTTAGTCAGAGTGAGGTTTTATTTAGAAAAAGCACATTTTGGAGATAAAATTAAGCCTTCGGCATCTTCCACTATCAAGTAAGCACTTGGCCAATTTTACCACATTAATACCCATGCACGCGTCCTTCCTGGAGCTAATCACAGCAGACGATTTCTTCCGGGAAGAGAGCAAGACCAAGACCATCCGATAGGAAAAGCATTTGATTTCCATGTGCTTTAACACTCACTAAAACCCAAGCCTTGGGGCCTGCACTGTAGTTTGGCAGTGCAGTGTTAGAATCCTATATGGGTGCCAGTTAGAGTACCGGCTGCTCCACTTCTAATCCAGCTCCCTGCTAATGTGTCAGGGAAAGCAGTGGAAGATGGCCCAAGTGCTTGGGCCCCTGTACCCATGTGGGAGCCAGCAGATGGAATCTCTCTCTCTCTCCTTCTTTGTGTAACTCTGCCTTTCAAATAAATAAAATAAATCTTTAAAAACCCAAGCCTTGAAGCCCATCCTCTGCTGACTCCATACAGAGGGAAGATGCGGATTCTCATTACCGGAAGAGTAAAGAAAGCCGGATGCTTCGCCTCATCTTCGTATTTGCCTTCCGTCGAGCTTCCAGCCTCCATGGACTTGGACGTGGTGTTCTTGCCAATGCCCATCATTAAGAGGACGTGGGCAGCTCTGCACAGCCGCGGGCCTGCAGGGGCTGCACTGGGGCTGACTCAAGCGAGGAGCTTCCGTGTCGGCTCTCCCAGGGCCTGGAGCACCCAACAATCAGGCAGAGACGTGACTGGTGAGCGCCATCTCTGACCACCTGGAAAACAGAGAGTGCAGCCGGGTCACCTCGATGCACGCAAACAACACGAGAGGCGTGGTCAGCTTCCTGCACAGGAAAAGGCCAGGTGATAAGCTGTACCCAAACATCCAGAATTGTGTCATTCTGAGGCTCTTTTCAAGTACCCTCCCTCTTCATTCACAGTTACACACTCACTGAATTGCCTCTAAACTGGATTATCAATATCACATGGGAGGGAGGAAGAGCAGTTACCGTATTTCTCTGACCTGCATTATGGTATGTATCTCACAACTCTTCACCAGGTTACAGAATTCTCTCTCTCTCTCTCTCTCTCTCTCTCTCTCTCTCTCTCTCTCTCTCTGACAGATAGAGATGGACAGTGAGAGAGAGAGACAGAGAGAAAGGTCTTCCTTCCATTGGTTCACCCCGCAAATGGTCGCCACAGCCGGCACTGCACCGATCCGAAGCCAGGAGCCAGGTGCTTCCTTCCTCCTGGTCTCCCATTCGGGTGCAGGGCCCAAGCACTTGGGCCATCCTCCACTGCCTTCCCGGGGCCACAGCAGAGAGCTGGACTGGAAGAAGAGCAAACCGGGACAGAATGAGGCACCCATATGGGATGCCAGCACCGCAGGCGGAGGATTAGCCAAGTGAGCCACGGCGCTGGCCCCCAGAATTCTTTTTAATGAGTTTACTTTCTCCGCCTGCTCTGTTCAGGACAGTTATTACTAGTCACATGTGGACCAGTGAACCTGGAAATGTGGGCAATAAGGAACAGAATTTGATCTGTATCTAACCTTAACTGATTCCTTGAGGCTAGTGGTTACCATACTGGACAATGCAGATATAGCCACTTTATCACAACTGAATGGAAATTGAAAATAACTAATTCTCTAACTATGCCCAACTACAGCCAGGAGAAGGCACTCAAAGCATGACAATGAAGGAAAAAAAAAAACCTAGGACTGGGGCCAGTGCTGTGGTGCAGTGGGAAAGCCACCGCCTGCAGTGCCTGCATCCCATATGGGCACCAGTTCGAGTCCTGGCTGCTCCACTTCTGATCCAGCTCTCTGCTATGGCCTGGGAAAGCAGTTCAACATGGCCCAAGCCCTTGGCCCCTGCACCCAATGTGGGAAACCTGGAAGAAGCTCCTGGCTCCTGGCTCCTGGCTCTTGGATTCGGATTGGCACAGTCCCGGCTGTTGCGGCCAATTGAAGAGTGAACCAGCGGATGGACGACCTCTCTCTTTCTTTCTCTCTGCCTCTATGTGTAACTCTGACTTGCAAGTAAATAAATAATCTTAAAAAAGAAAAAACCTAGGATTAAACAGCCACAAAGAATTCCAGATAGGTAGCAAGATGAGCTTTAAATGGGCTAGAATCCCTTCCCCCCGCCCCCCCCCCAAAAGCCAAAGCATTCAGTGTCAATCAAGTGGCAACATATTGCTATAAAAAGAAATGCATCCCTCTTCCCCACAGTAAAAGGAAGGTTAAAGCAGCAAGAGACAAGAAAGGGTGGGAGGCAGGAAATCAGACTACCAGGCCACAGCTGGCCACGACGTACCCGAGAACCTCAGAGACCCTGACAGCATTCAAGAAGGATCCTGAGACCGTACCCCTCCCTGAGGGAAAAGACAAGGACAGCCCTGCTTGGCTCAGCTCCCGCAGGGGGCCAGAGGAGGGGCTCTGGCTGCTCTGGCTCTGGTGGATGGACACCTAGGCTCCGTCTCCATCATGAAACAAAGCTCCTGCTGTTTCTCAGGGGTTTTTTTTGTTTGTTTTTTGTTTTTCCTACTTGCAAAACTGATTTCTGGTCGCTGTTTGAAGTGACAAGGGTCACGATTTGGAGAAGTATGTTTTACTGGAATCAGCAATGTTCTCTTTGAACATTCTCTCTGGGGACCACCCTGCCCCTCACCCACCTCTCACACCAGCACCCTGGGGAAGACTTGCTTACACCCAAGTCAACACAAGAGGGCAGGGGCACAGAGAGCCCAGGGCAGGGATGTTGGGAGAAAGGCTCCAGGGAAGAGAGCACCAAGAAGCCCAGAGTGGGGAGCTGCTGAGTGGGGGAGCACAGAGAGGAACACAGGGAGAAAGCCGAAGAGAGAAACGTCCGCTCAGCGGCTGCTGGGACAGTCCCCACCCGACAGAGCATGGCAAACCCAGGATGACAAAGACAGCCTCAAGGTCAGAGAGCGCGTGCCAGCCCAGGATCAGAGGGTTTCAGCCTCACAGAATGGACTTTCATGTGGGGAAATGCCAAGGTCCAGAGGCAAACCCAGAAGACGAAAGGAACAGGGAGGGGGCAGAGTGGAGTGCGGGGTCTGCGTTAGAATGTTTGCAGAAACACGAAGGGCAATCTCCCACAGTTCACCTGCCCATGGTGCTCCACAGCCCCTCTTCCGACCCCTGGCAAGAGGGAGAAAGAGAAGATGCTGCTGCCAGCTCCACAGAGGGGAAGGGGGTCCTGCGAGAGGAAGGCATTCCGGAGAGGATGATGAGGATGAGGACAACGGTGGAGCAGTAACAGCAGCTTTCCAGTGAGGCACCTGTGTGGGCCAGGCCTGTCTCTGACCTCTCACCACTAACTGGCCTTTGTTTCTGGCCGGCAGATGACCACCTGGCTGGTTTCCCTGTGGTCCTGTGTGAGTGCTACCCACATGGAGATGCATACCATTTCCAGACTCCCAGGAAATTCCTTTATACCCCTCCCCACTACCCACTTCTGTGTGGTCCCCAGCTGTGAACAACAACATGTGGCAGAAGACCACCTGACCCACAAAACCAAAGGCATTTACAGAAAGCTGATCCCGGATGACCACAGAAGGAAGAGAGCCTGTTCAAAATGGCAATCCAAACATCAAATGCTTAAGAGCAAATTTAACACACACACAAAAAAGTGCATGACCTTCACAGAGAAAATCTACACCACCGCTGTGGACATGACAAATTTGAGTAACTAGAGACAGAAACACTGTTCCTGGATAGGAAGGTTACGGTAAGGAGATGGATTTTCTAGTAAACACAGTCCACACAGATTTCATCAAAAGGTGACAGGTGAGGTTGCTACAAATTTCTCTGGAAGAATAAACAAGAACAGCCACAAATATGTGGAAATGTGCTCTCTCGGTTAGAAACACCCAGGTAAAGCTGTTGTAATAAATAGAAGAATTTAACAGAGGTATGAACACAGACTAACACAGAAAGAAGACCACCCACAGAGGAACAGCTGTGACACGGTGGCACTTCTAATCATAAGACAAAGTATGGACTTTTCAATATATGTGCCAAGATAATTGGTTGACTATAAGTAAGAACCAGAAAAAGGAAGATCTATGGCTAACAGATAACATTAGGGTGGTAATACCTGTCTTAGCATATTATTAAAAACAGAAAAGAAAGCAAGCATAACTTTACAATGTGAATTTTTTTACTGTATGGAAAAAAAAAACTACACAAAACTAAACAGCAAAATATAAGAGACATAGATAGGCCGGCGCCACGGCTCAATAGGCTAATCCTCCACCTAGTGGCGCCAGCACACTGGGTTCTAGTCCTGGTTGGGGCGCCGGATTCTGTCCCAGTTGCCCCTCTTCCAGGCCAGCTCTTTGCTGTGGCCAGGGGGTGCAGTGGAGGATGGCCCAAGTCCTTGGGCCCTACACCCGCATGGGAGACCAGGAGAAGCACTTGGCTCCCAGCTTCAGATCAGCACAGTGCACTGGCCGCAGCGGCCATTGGAGGGTGAACCAACAGCAAAAGGAAGACCTTTCTCTCTGTCTCTCTCTCACTGTCCACTCTGCCTGTCGAATAAAAAAAAAAAAAAAAAAAAAAAGAGAGAGAGAGAGAGAGAGAGAGAGACATAGATAACATGTTGGTATCTTTACTTGAAATCTCTCACCAATGCATAAGTAGAATAGATAATGTAAAAATGGGCAAAACATGAGCCTCTAATTTGCAACAATTCAAATGACAAAGTAAATGCCCCATTCTTGTTAAAATCAAATGGAAGTATGCTGAAATGAGGAGTCACTTTTTAACTAATCATTTATTTTTCTAAATGTTTTTATTTATTTGAGAAGCAGAGAGACAAAGGGAGAGACAGACAGAGGGAGTTCCCATCCACTGGTTTATTCCCCAAACGCCCACAGTGGCCAGAGTCAGACCAGGCCAAAGCCAAGAACAAGTAACACAATACAGTCTTCGATATGTGTAGCAGGAATCCAAGTGCCTGAGCCACCATCTACTGCCTCCCTCCCTGGGGGTGCATTAATGGGAAGTTGAGGTTGGAAGTGGAGCTGAGACTCAAATTCAGGCATTCTAATATGGGATGCCAGTTAGCATCTCAGCCACAAGACCAAATACTCTGCCAGTTATTTTTAATGCCCTTAATGGTAAGATGATAAACAAACTCACACATACTCCTAATGAAAGATAAATGCAATCTGGTTAGTTTTATCAAAAGAGTTCTAAACATAATTCACTTCTAACACTTGTCTAGCAATTTACTCTAAGGTAATAACTAAGATGCACAGATTGAGTTACAGAATTGTAATTAACAGTGTTAATGAGAGCAAAAGGAATCTAACAGTCAACATAAAAAGACTGGGAAACTTGTTCATTTAAAACAGAGATTGTGATTCCAGTCCACGCACTGACGTCAACTCTACCTCCACACACTTGGTTTTAGAAAGAAAGAAAAAAGGGGCCGGTGTTGTGGCATAGCAGATAAAGCCACCACCTGCAGTATTGGCATCCCGTATGGCCACTGGTTTGAGACCCAGCTGCTCTACTTCTGATCCAGCTCTCTGCTGTGGCCTGGGAAAGCAGTAGAAGATGGTCCAAGTGTTTGGGCCTCTGCACTCATGTGGGAGACCCGGAAGAAGCTCCTGGCTCCTGGCTTCAGATCGGCCCAGCTCTAGCCATTGCAGCCATTTGAGGAGTGAACCAGTAGATGAAAGATCTCTCTGTCTCTACTTCTGCCTCTCTCTCTTTCAAATAAATTAAAAAATCTTGGAAGGA